AAAAACTAAAAATGTACAAATTTCTTTGTGCAATCAGTTTCCTTATGTCATAGGGTTTCCAAAAAGTTAAACATTAACAAAATCTGACCACGTGAAATTATACATCATTCAGGCAGTTAGTATAAAAGTCCGGTTTTAAACTTAAAGAGAGGACAAATTAAAAACACTCCATTTACTTGGACAATCCGAGAGAATTTCTATTATCGAATTTCCACTCTTATTCAACATTTATACACTGAAAAACTGCACTCTCAGTTTAACTACTATGTCTAACCGGTCACTCCCTTTAACATATTTTTGCTAATCAAGACCAAACTTAGATTAGAAAAAACGTGATGGTCTTACCTTACAATATATGTATCCCAACCTATTTAAAACACCAAAAAAATACTATTTTTTTTAAAACGTTTTTATCTTTTAGAATCCCCTCCCTTACCTTTAATATTATTAATGATTATGATTAATGCAAAATTGGGACGAGAGCAAAAATTTTATCATTTTGTGCCATATTTTTGGACTCAAATATTGCAGATATTTTAATTCAAAATACTGCCAAAATTATTTTCTTTTCCACAGGGGTTAGATTATATACAAATTATATACTGCCATTTCAAAGGCTGGCCATACTTCGCTATTTTTTTTAAATCGCTTAACAAACCAAACTTTTTTAAAAAATAATAAAAAAAACATTATTTTAGTTTGATTCTGCATTACTTAAGTGAAGTATATAATCGTATTGCATTATCGAAGCTGTGGCTAAAAAGGTCCGGCGCAAAAAGTGTCCAGCCTTAGGCGATTTTGCTTCAAATAAAGAGGAGATAATTCGAGCAATTCTTCTTGTCTACCCGCCCCCCCTAGTATACCCTTTCATATTCATACTTTATAGACAGTATACCCGGCCTTTCATATTCAAACTTTATAGACAGTATACCCTTTCATATTCATACTTTATAGACAGTATACCCTTTCATATTATACTTCATAGACAATATACACGCATAGACGCTATAGGGGGTGATACAGGAACGGAGACATGTTTTAAAAAATTATTATAATTTATCTTTCTAATATGATGAAGTATTCAAAGGCGACACAAAGTCCCAAATTAAACAAAAGTAATTTGTACTGATTTTAAATATTTTCTATTATTTTACTAAAAATTCTGCAGATTGACAAATATTTTATTCATTTATTTTAAGACTGCGCAAAGTTTTACATTGTCCCCGTCTTTTATAAATAACAAGATGGCGAATAATTCGCGCATTTTTCTGGTCGGGTTAATCCCCGGCTTCTCAGGTATTCTCATCATTAAAACTCTTTAGTCGTACGTTCTTGGAACATTCAGTTAAAATTCATTTATTATGAAAAACATTTATTTATAAACATGAGAACCATGCAGAAATACTTCAATCATCAGAAATAATATTTATATCACTCATAGTCTATAGATAAATATTAAAAAGCCCCTTTTTTTTCTCAACAACTAAAAAAAGTTAATCGACCTTAGATATTTTTCCTTCATATATAGCTAAACCAAAATGGCCGTTGCGAGCTCAATATATATAGTTGTATTGTAGATAAGCACTCTGACATTTTGCATGTGTAATTTTGCGCAATCATCAGAATGCTGTAGAATCGTGGGTATAAACACATCTTTCAATGATTTATTGTAATCCACCGGGTGTCCCCCAAAAAATTTAAAAATTATTTCGCGAAGTAAATTTTCTTTGTTGAAGAGTATTTTTGTTGAACATATAAAATCTCTATAATTTTCTTTTTAGTNAGGGGTACTCTGCCACCTAATTTGAATTTGATAGCAGGAATTAGTGGATCCCTAGCCTGAGATCTAATGATGCCTGATTGGGTGGCTTGGATCGGCCTGACTCCTCTGCAGCCTGCACTATTGGTCTGAATCATAATATTATCCAGTAATTTAGACCAAAATTTGGTTAGGGAGATTAGACAGGGGTAGATAATATCAACACAAAATAAAAATAAAAAATGCGCCAATAATAAAAAATAATCTTTGAAACTATTTAATTTTTTTTAATTTTTGATATATAATTTAACGATAAGTAAAACCATTTACTAAATTGAGTTACGTGGGGGAGAGGGTGGGAGGGGGAATGACTAAGCATAGTTTCTTAAATAACCTACGGATCAGAAACCTGGTCCCAATCTCACAAAAGTCCATATATCAATATTAAAACTTTTTTATTACATATATTAGACTAAGCATTCATCAAAAACATACAGAAAATATATTTTGCAATTTTGTTGCACCCTTTATAAGGTTTGTTTTAATTTTTACTTTGTCATTTCGATGAAAAAAAAATATAAATCATGTTTTTTCAGATATTAGGAATAAAAAAATGGTACAGTTGAATTTTTTTTTTATATAATTTTTGATTTAGATTTGGCATGCTATCTTTAATCTACTTGATTTAACATTGTTGACATTAAGAACAAAAAAATAAAAAATAAATTTTAGTTAGAAAAATTAAAAAATCAGTTTACAAAAAAGGAAAATTCTGTTTCATCGTTTCATCTCTTTAAACATTTTTAACAAACTTGAAATAATTTTATAGTTCTTATTTTTTCTTAAAATGTTTTTCAGAACTTAAAACATTAAGATTTATAGAAAAAGCTCACTCTATATATTTCTTTCTGTTGTATAGTCTTGTAGTTGTATAGAGGCACATTAAACCCCGGATATTGCCTCATTAGGCATAATCATATATTCCTACTAACATTATAGAAATTACAAAATTCATGAAAACTTTCTAGACTATATACCCTTTCATATTCATACTTATAGACAGTATACCGTTTCATATTATACTTCATAGACAATATACACTTTTATATTCATACTTTATAGATAGTATACCCTTTCATATTCATACTTTATAGACAGTATACCCTTTCATATTCGTACTTTGTAGAAGTGTACCCTTTCATATTTATACTTTATAGACAGTATACCCTTTCATATTCATACTTTATAGACAGTATACCCTTTCATATTCATACTTTATAGACAGTATACCCTTTCATATTATACTTTATAGACAATATACATTTTTATATTCATACTTTATAGATAGTATACCCTTTCATATTCATACTTTATAGACAGTATACCGTTTCATATTATACTTCATAGACAATAATATACACTTTTATATTCATACTTTATAGATAGTATACCCTTTCATATTCAAACTTTATAGACAGTATACCCTTTCATATTCCTACTTTATAGACAGTATACCCTTTCATATTCATACTTTATAGACAGTATACCCTTTCATATTATACTTCATAGACAATATACTCGTTCATATTCATACTTTATTGACAGTATACGCTTTCATATTCATACTTTATAGACAGTATACCGTTTCATATTATACTTCATATACAATATACCCTTTTATATTCATACTTTATAGATAGTATACTCTTTCATATTCATACTTTATAGACAGTATACGCTTTCATATTTTGGGAAAGTACCTAACATCATGTAAAGGTGTTAGGTATTTTCCCAAAGGCATTTTTCCAAGGGTGACTTACCAAGTGGCAACTTTCCAAATTGCAATTTCCCTAGCGACTACTTTTTTTAGATCATGTGGTCAACCAATCTATTTTGCATATTCAAAATTTGGGAACTAAATAAGAAAAAATATGTTCATAGAACATTTTTAAAAAGCATCTTAAAATTTCTATGTATAAATGTTTGCACCAAAATGTTCTAAATTAAGATTCTACAGTTTGTTTGGCGAAAATATTGTCCACTGGTTCAATTATGGATTCTGACTGAAATGACTCTTTTCAGAGTAAAATGTGTTGAATATTGGTTGGGTTTAACATCGTAAATCTAGATTTTAAGGACCTCAGGGTCCGAAAAAATAAAAATTTAAAAATAAATTTTATTCATCTATTTTATATGGAAATTTTTTTTTAAAAATTCTAAAAAAAAGTTTTCGTTCTTAGGGCATTTTTAGGGTATTTTTAGGACACCTTTTACATTCAAATTTATTCGAATTATTCAAATTGCCGGTTTAGCTGTAAATTTGCCTAAAATATTACCATACTTGACCTATAACTTATTCTTCCCTCCTCAATCAAATATTTTTTTCATCCATTGGCCGAAAAAATATTAAGTTGAACAAATTACTTTTACTGTAAAAAAATCTTAAAAATTCAATATTTAGGATAGAAATCAAAATTCAATATTTAGGATAGAAATACAAAATTCAATATTTAGGATAGAAATACAAAATTCAATATTTAGGAAATACAAAATTATGAATTTTTCTAGAAACAGATAATTACTTGCATAATTTTTCTTCAACAACGTGTTTATCGTCTGTGAGTCAGTCTGTCTGTCTGTCTGTCTGTCTATGCATATCTATAAGTCTGTCTATCTCTGTCTGCCTCAAGGCTTGATTAATATCTAGAACTATAGAGCTCGATAGCTAGATAGACAGATAAATAGAAAAATCGATAGATAGATGGGAAGAGAATTCTATTTTAATCTAGTAGATAATACCAATAATCAGAATACATATGTATAAATTATACATATCAGATTTATGGATGGATAGATAGATGAACAGATAGATAGATAGATAGATATTGGTTAGTATTTATAAATGTGCCCAGGGCAGCACCATTAATTCTTCAGTAAACATTTATCTACTTATCAATTCATGAACTTCAAATCAACCTTTGAATATATGAAAATTCAAAATTTGAGAGAAAATAAATTATGATTTTAATATTCTCAGAGACGAAAATTAACTCAATTATTGAAATGCTATACCGAACGATTCTTAAAGTCGTCTTCCTATTCCATAGTTTTATTGGTCTTTACTGTAGCAAAATGCTAAAAAGATGAATGGGTACTAGGTTATGGGTCTGATGTTTGTACCGGTTTCCGATAAATGCAATCATAATTAAAACCAAGCTCAAGTACCATCATTGCAAATTGTCCTTTTAATCAGAGATCAAATAAATATAATTTTTTCATAATTGAAGATATTTAAATTCTTATTTACCTGTTGCATATCTGTTGCATTGTTTATAAACTGGTTTATATTAGACTGGGAGGATGCAGGGTTCAGAAGAACTGTCTGAAGATGTGCTAGCAGCTGAAGAGCTTGAGCCTGTTGGATCAGATCAGCTGGTTTAGGTAGCCCTGACATACCTACTCCGCTTAGAAGGTGGGAGAACGGAGAGCCTGGGATACCTGCCAGAAGGTGCAGAGGATTAGCTGCCCCCTCAGTCTGGGAGCTAGGAACTGTACTTGAGGTAGAAGAAGACGACAATTTTTCGCGAAAATTTTCTTCATTTTCTCGCATTTTTTCGTTTTCACGCCATCGACCAGATTGGTCAACCCAGCTGCCGGTCTTGCCGGTCAGAGTTTCTAAGGAGGCGAGCCGTAAGGACGCGCTGTAGGAGTCCTCACGAAAATCTCTGGGAGATCGCGATCGATCTCTTGTATGCGAATGATCGTTCTGCTGCAGTCTTGAGTGATCAATATAAGGTGATCTACTTCTATCTTCTGACAAACCTAAAATAATAATAAAATATTAAAATGTGTCCCATAAACGCAAGAAAATGTGTGTACAACTGTTAGAGATTTGTTGAAGGATTACACATGGTAGATACATTAAAATTCAATACATTTACTACTTGTTTCGGCTTTTTCAAACTTTAACTAAAAGAAATGACTTACAAGAAGCAGTACAAATCACCAAAAAATGTTGATTTTTTTCAGAGCAAAAATATCTTGGAAGGGTGCATTAAAATTTACATTTTCAAATGTTTTTTTATTAAATACATATGCACAGATCAATTTGCCTTTCTAACAAATATTGATTTCTTTCAGAGCAAAAAATCTTGTTTTAAAATTTACATTTTCAAAATGTTTTTTATCAAGTCTAACTTTTCTGAATGAAGACTTTTTTATTCTAAGAGTATTTAATTAAAACAGATATTTTATTCCATATTAGCCAAATTTATCTATCAGTTTATTTTGTCTATATATCTATATATCTATCTATCTGTCTATTTTGTCTATATATCTGTATATCTATCTATCTGTCTATTTTGTCTATATATCTATATATCTATCTATCTGTATATTTTGTCTATATATCTATATATCTATCTGTCTGTCTATCTATGACAAAACAATGTTTATTCTTGAATAAAGAATAGATCCTGGAAACACAATAGACATTCCGGAATACATAGGTATTCAATGTCTACCTTACTTTCTAACTGTTTGTTGTTTATCTGTCTGTCTTTCTTTAAACCAAGATATATCTTACTCAGTTTCTTTTCCCACTAGCTCTTTTTCATATTTTTTGTGAGTATTTTCAAACTTTTCCCTACTTTTTTTTTGCTTATAATGTTTTTTTTAAAGATTAGAAACTTTTCCCCTAATTTTTTTATCAGTTTTTTATTCTTTTTATTGTCAAAACCTATCTAAACTTGTTTTTGAAGAAGTAGACACTAGACATACATTTTTTTGTTTCAATTTAAGAATTAATATAGTAATTTTAGAGTTTTTGATTCATGAGTCGCATTTTTCCACACTTTAGCCGTTTAACAATAAATTAGAGGGACCGGAAGAAGTCCAGAGGGAATGGAGGGAGAGGCCGGGGGGAAGAGGGGTTTTATATTATATAAAGAATGCAGGTTGTAAGAGTGGATTTTGTGGTTACTGCATTTGATTCAAATTCAAAATCTATTCAGATTTCACCCAAACTTCCTTCCCCCTCTAACCTCATTTTAAAGGCTTGGGAACAATACTTTGGGAAAGTACCTAACATCATAAATAATTATTTAAACGGAATATTTTTTCAACATTTTAAACTTTCTAGCGGTAGTCGGTTACGTTTATTTAAACCTTCTAGCTTATTAAACATGAAAGAATTTATTTTAAATTTAATTTTTAGAACCCCACCATTTTTAGCTTCAATAATCTATTCAGAATCGCACTTTAATTCTAGATACATCAGTTTCTCAGTCAATGTTTTTAGAGTATTAAAAGTTTTAAGCCGTTTATTGTGATAAAAAAAAAATGGAAACTTGAATTTTCCCTCCTAAGTCCACACTCACAATTCTTCTCGTTTTGATATTTTAAATAAACATATAACATCTGTATTTATTAGATATAAATGTAACTAATTATTTTGTCACAATATTAAATATATAAAAATATAGTGAGAAACTGGGATGTTTATTGAGCACGAAAGGCTTATTTTCGTCGTGATTTATTTGTCAAGGGAACACACTGATGCATTGCATAACTCTTTGCTTAAACGTTTTATGAAGATTCATTTTTTAAAATGTAAAGAGTTCACTGGGTAGGATTTCCAACTGCAAAGTACTGGTTTAAATGATGCTGATGGTGTGAGGATGGGAGAGGGGTGAGGGAGAGGGGTGGAGTAGGAGTTAAGGAAGAGGGAGGAGTAGGAGTCGAGTACATTCCTGGTATAGGAGAACTACCGGGACTATTGGAGTTAGGATTCATTCGTTTTTCTTTCTGTCTTCGATTACAAAACCATACTCGAACCACCTCCTTCTCCATACATAATCCGTCAGATATATATTGGACTTCTTCACTCGTCGGTTTTGGGTTCGAGTTGAAAGCTCGTTCAAGTGCTACTCTGATCGCGTTATCGATGGATGTGCGTTTCTTTCGGCGACGGGCAAGTGCTTCTTGTGCGGCGGTGAGCGACGCTGATTGACTGAGCATTTGTGCGTGAACGTTCTGCGATGTGTCCGCATCCTCGAGCCATTTTTGGAGGAGGGGTTTCAGCTTGCACATGTTCTTGAAGGAGAGGTTGAGAGCCTCGAACCTGGAGATGGTTGTCTGAGAGAAATCATTTCCGTAAAGTTTACCAAGTGCCAATCCTACATCTCCCTGCGTATATCCTAGTTTTATTCTCTTTTGTTTAAACGTTTTTGCGAATTTTTCTAATTCTTCTAAATCCGCATTTTCCTCTGGTGGTAGATCCAGCCGACCCCGGAACATTTTCTCTGGTTTGTGCGCGTACTGGTTCGGCATAGAGTACGGAAAAGAGGATGGCGAGAACGCCATCGAAGTTGGGGGATTTCTACTCATTTGGCTGGACGGGATCTGCTCTCTGATTGGGGACGACCTCTCATTTTTTACTTTGAATCTTTCAACTTCTGGATGCTGTTGCATTTGTCGGCCTATCATCTGAAACAGAAAAAAAGTAATAAATACAAAAAAATGAAAATGCAAAAGACAATTTTTTAAGATTTAGATTGAGCAGCTGTTTTCGTCAATTTTCGTTCTCCATCATCAGGTGTATCATGTCAATATGTCAATAAAAATGTAAAATATTATAGTGGAGCTAGAAGTATGACTCAATAACAGGCAGTTTTAAAATATAACTTTAAAAATCAATTTTAATTTTGATTGATTCTATAAGAATGAATCAAAATTTTTAGATATAAAATCCAAAATTGCATCATGTGTAAATGTCTAAGTGAAAATAAAAGAATAGATTGAATTTGATAGTTTCGCACAGTTAACATCATACATATATATATATATATTAGTATACCCTTTCATATTCATACTTTATAGACAGTATACGCTTTCATATTTTGGGAAAGTACCTAACATCATGTAAAGATGAAGTATTCAAAGGCNTCTGTCCAAGGGCTGCAAAGTACAGGGTGTTAAAAAATAAATGATCTTATTTTTCTTCTTTGGTTCTACTTAAAACATTTTTAATTTTAATTAGGGCACTCGACTAAAAAAATTGACAAAAAATAATTTTTTAACGTCTTAAGTTTTTTAAGTTCATCCTTTATATTATAAATTCAAGGTTACTTAATCAGAAGGAGAACATCTGATAGAGATAATAAGTCCTGATGACGTATTTTAGAATCAGTTGTTCAATAGAATTAAATGTTAAATCTTTTTAAAACTTTAATTTGATTACAAAATGAAAATGTAAAGAATTTATACCAGTCGGCCTTTAAAAATGTAACCAATTTTTGAGACTATGATAATAAATATTTTAAAATATTTAAATGTTTTTAGTTTCTATATTAGTTTAAATCTACTATATGCAGAATCTACATGTAAAGGTAAATTTATATTATTAATAACGTAGAAAACAGAAGGTTTTTAGAGTTTGACAGAAAAATGGATTTTCAAATAAATCAATTCAACTTTCTCTAGTGCTCCCTCCCCCTCTTGAACAAGTAATTAATAAATGATCATTCAAATATTCCTTAATTAAAGATCCTTATTAGACCTTATATAACGCAATCAGTATAATTACAGACACAAATACAGGGTTTACAATTCCCACAGAATCTAGGTTTCAAATAGTGAATAAAAATGGTTACAAAAGAATTTAATCTTTTTAAAAAACTCAATTTTTTAATCCATATTTCTTTACACCAAATGTCTCAAACTTTTAATTCTGTTCGATAAATAATCTAAGTTTGAAATATCAAAGATTTACCCTTTTAGGTTGCAAAGATATAGGGAAATCTTAGTTTGTAGCAAAGACTCAATTCCGTTGCTGAAGTTTAAAATGTTAAATTAAAAAAAAATAATAAATTCCCATACTGTTCGATTCGATACTTTGTACATTTCGGAATTATTTATACTTCTACAATATATTGCAATATAACAATCTAAATTATTACAACTATTTGCAATTTATATCATGAACATTAATACATGTATCGCCCCCTGCTGATATTTACTTCTACTAAAACCACGTAATTATCGTCACGTGTGTTCCGTAATTAAAGGGACTGTTGGTTTAATTTAGAGTGACCCTGTATGCCCAATTTTCAACAGAACCCTTAAACCTTTGTTTAAGCAAAATTGATTGAGTTATTTTACCGAAAATCTATTAATTTTCGGTTTCGACTTTTTAAAGAAGTTATTTGCGGATGTAGCAGCAGAACGATGAAGAGAATTGAAAGAGTTTTTAGTGAAAACAAAATGACGATAAAGAGCTAAAGGGTTGGTTCGTGAATCAGACAGGAAACTCTTGAAATCGGCCCATATTTTATTTGGGGAAAAATATTCGAATGAAACAATGGTTCTCAAATTAAGTAAACATACTTTTTGTATATTGCACTTTAACATGGAAGCCGGTTAAAAAAAAGTTTCCTAGGCAATGAAGTAAAATACGGTGGATTCAATTTTAAGATGAAAACGTTATGAGTCACGTACACAACCAAGCCCTATAAATTATGAAAATAATGTTTTTATACAATGGATTGCGGCATTCTAAGAACTGTCTGCGCACCATTGCACATTATGATCATTAATTTTGTATTCATGCGACAAATAATAAAACATAATTAAAATTTTTGTTCAAATATTTATGAAGTATATTTCATAAATGAAAACTTATAAAGTTAGCCAAATTTTTGTATTGAACTTCATTTTACATTTCAAACTAAAACTATGTTAAACAAAACAAACTATTTTTGGATCAAAATGTCTAAAAGATGGAATATATATATGAATATATAATATACTATGAATTTCCCGTCATTCAAATGATTAAATGAGTTTTTGATTAAATTTTGGGTTCCGTTGATTGATAGAGATTTAGGGATATGATTATATACCCATATATATACTGAGAAAGTTAAACAGGTTTCACAAGTTCGAGATCATTTTGAAAAAAAAGAAAAATAACTCGTATGGAAATTCCAACGTTTTTAAAAGGGACGAAGGTTTAATTGGTAATTTTATATCATGTAAATTCGCGTCGAAAGATCCTTTAATAAATATTGAAATTAAAATCATGAATATTTAACTTACACTATTCTTATATTTGATCGGAAACCATTAGAACCAGTTCAAAATCAGATTAAGCGCACCCTACCCCGTGAAACCAGACGAAAGATCAAATGTCACTTGAAGTTTTGTGAATTGTCCCTCAAATAGATCTGAATTATGATTGACTAGGACCATGATGAAGACAGAAGTTGAAGAAAATTGACATTAATAGCCGACCCTTAGCCACCAATACAGGATACAGAGGGAGCAATACAAACATGATATTGGATATATAAATATATATATTTTAAGATAAACATCAATTTAAATCAGATTCTTTCAACGTTAAACAGCTATGTGTATAATCAAGGAACTGATCAATATATAAATATATATTTATTTATAGACTTTTAATGTGTGTCTACGTTTTTACACACTTTAAGTATCTTTTCCTTAAAACAGAAATCAAAGTTTTTTTCACAACCTTTTAGCTGTCATTATTACAAAGCATCTATCTATCTATCTCTCCTTATATTACCTAGATGCTAGCTCTCTCACTATCATCGTTTATATATCTACATTTCTACCTAACTCTCTATTAACATATCTACCTATCACCATTAAACTCTCTACCTTTCTACTTAACTAGCTTTTATCATATCTACCTATCAATATTTACATCTCTACCTTTCTACCTAATTCTATCTATTAACATAGATATGTTACTATTTACTATCTAACTTTCTACCTAACTATCTATTAACATATCTACCTTTCACCATTTACATCTCTACCTTTCTACCTAATTCTATCTATTAACATAGATATGTTATTTACTATCTAACTTTCTACCTAACTATCTATTAACATATCTACCTTTCACCACCTAACTATATGTTAACATATCTACCTATCAATTATTTAACTCTCTACCTTTCTACCTAATTCTATTTATTAACATATCTACCTACCACCATTTACAATTTAACTTTCTACCCAACTATCTATAAACATATCTACCTATTAGTATTGAACTCTCTACCTTTCTACCTAACTATCTATTAGCACGTCTACCTATCACCATTTACTATCTAACTTTCTACCTAACTATCTATTAACATATCTAACTATCATTATGTAACTCTTTACATTCCTACCTAACTATCTATTAACATATCTTCCTTTCACCACCTAACTATCTGTTAACATATCTACCTATCAATTATTTAAATCTCTACCTTTCTACCTAATTCTATCTATTAACATATCTACCTATCACCATTTACATTTAACTTTCTACATAACTATCTATTATCATATATACCAATTACCATTTACCTATCTAGCTTTCTACCTAACTATCTATTAACATATGTACCTATTACCATTTACCTATCTAACTTTCCACCTAACTATCTACCTATCTAAAAACCTATTCATCTATCTCCTAGCTATCTATTTATCTATCTATCTATGAGACAAGAGCACCTAGCTACTGTAATGTCCATTTACCAGCTCGAGATAAGATCTAGGTAATGCACCGACCGAGAGGTGTAAACACTGTGTGGACTGTGTAGGGGTACTAGTAACCACATTTTAACACTTGGCAGAGAGAGGAGGAGGGGGGGGGGATAAGGGGGGTTGCAATTAGAGGGTATGGGGTATTTGAGGATAGTCTTTTTACGTTCTGTACCAGGCACTAATCTATAATTCCATAAAACATTTCCTAAAAATTCTAAACAGTTTTCAAGGCCTACATTTTGATTACATAATTCGGCGTGTTAGATTGGCATTGATAATTCATATTTCTATTATATGTATATATATAATGTATATCTAGATATCTACATATATTCTTCAATCTTAGGAACCATGGATTCTGTCAAAAATTCCCAGCTAGGTTACGCCCATCAATTTCATATAAAATGATTTCACAAAGATAGATATCTAATCCATCTAGTAGGCTGTCTTTCTATATATTTTAATCTATCTATCTATCTAGTAGGCTGTCTTTCTACATATGTATATATATTTATCTATCTATCTATTTAGTAGGTTGTCGTTCTATATATCTATCTATCTATCTATTTAGTAGGCTGTCTTTCTATACATTTATCTATCTATCTTTCTAGTAGGCTGTCTTTCTATATATGTATCCATCTATCTAACCAATAGGCTGTCTTTCTATATATCTATCTATCTATCTAGTAGGCTATCTTCCTATATATTTATCTATCTATCTAGTATGGCTGTCTTTCTATATATTTGTATATCTATCTATCTAGTAGGTTGTCTTTCTATATATTTATCTATTTATCTATCTATCTAACCAATAGACTGTTTTTCTATATATTTATCTATCTATCTATTTAGTAGGCTGTCTTTCTTTATATTTATCTATCTATCTAGTAAATTGTCTTTCAATAAATTTATCTATCTATTTAGTAGGCTGTATTCTATATATTTATCTATCTATCTAGTAGTCTCTCTTTCTATATATTTATCTATCTATTTAGTAGGCTGTATTCTATATAGTTATCTATCCATCTAGTAGTCTCTCTTTCTATATATTTATCTATCTATCTAGTAGGCTGTATATATTTAATCTTATTTGTCAATACTTCTTTCATTGTATAATTGACTTTTTATCATGCTAAATAAATTAAATTCATAATATTATAACTATATAAATTATTAGTTTAAAAATAGAATTATCGAAAAAAAGGAGACTTTGTATTCTTTTTACATTCAGAATATCGAGATTTAAATTTATTTAGAAAAAGGAATAACTAATGTACAAAAATAACAATGTTTTAGAGTAATATTAAAGTCAACATAAACTCGTTAATGAACAGTTCATCTTAACATTTTTGTTAAATGAAAGAATTAGAAAAATTTAAAATATTTTTGGTCTGCTTAAAAATGCAGTTTTTCAAGTTGAGGTATTTTCCCTTTATCGGGATATGGGAATGTGATGGGAGGGGGTAGGTGAAGGGGGGAGTGGGGTAGATGATGTTTTACTTTAATAGCTTGCATATTTTAACCTTTAAGTGTTTCCGAATGACTTTAAAGCTTATTTCATTCCTAAAAAACACATTTTCTTTTATTTTTAAGAACAGACGATTGAAGAAGCGTTGTTATGATAAATGACGGTGCTGACCTCCTTCAAAGCTGGGTGAAATTGGTTCATTTATTCATAAGATTAACAATGGGTATTTTGTGCATAACTCAAATTAAAGAGACGTAATTTATCTTTAAAATTAAAGAGACGCAATTTATCTTTAAAATTAAGTTTTTAAGAAATATGCTTAAAAATAATGTATAGACACGTTAACAAAAATTTTCTAAGTTAAATTTCAGAAAAAATGATATTAAAAACACTAATATAATGTACAATCTTTCAATATTCATAGTATTTCTTTATATTTAATTCACGGAGTTTGGTGCGATTTCATATTATTTGCAAAAAATTGACTTTTGAATACAATTTTGCTATTAAACATCCTATCACAAAGTAAAAAACTCCCCCATTGACAGATTTTACTTAATTTTTAATAAATTCTATAAAAGTTTATTTTCTGCTGCTTCAGAGTATTTTACAATATTTCTCAAAATAAGAACCTTTATAACAAATTCAAACAAAAGAAGTCTCAAGCAAGAATTTAAACTATGTATTTAAATATTTATGTATAATAATAAGAAAAAAAATACAATTAAAAACTATTTGAAAGTTAATCAGGTCAAAAAATTGGCCAATTATATATCATGTTTTAACTCTACATTTCTCAACTATTTGAATTATCAAGAATTCTTACCATGGCTGGCAGATGATCCAGATCTAGGACTCCCTGAACCTCCGACAGGACTTCTGTCCTCATCATGGACTTCAGGACTACCGGACTGCTGACCAAGTGGATTTTTTTCTAAAGGATGTGGACTGTAATCACGTGATCGGGTTGGACTCAAGTCTTTGGGTTCGTTGTCACTGTCCATGGACTGATTTGAATTTTGGTCCATTTCGTCTAGTTTTATGTTTGGTGGATTATTGTCTCTTAAGTTTTGTGGAATATTTTCTCTAAAGTTTGTTGGATTTGTATCCTGGGAGTTTGTGGATAACCAAGGAGGTATCCGGGAACTATAATCGTCACTACTCCTGCAGACAAATAACAATTAAGCTTTTTCTTTCAATTGGATCTTTAGTAAAAACCTATAGTTAGAATATCATTAGCTTGGATTTGATTATGCATGAAAAGAAAAAGGTTGTTGTTTGAGCTTGAAACGCCTCTGGAAAGAAGCTTTACAATTCTTAAACCATTTAAGGTTCATTTTAGAAAGCGTAGATTAATGATTGCTAAAAATGCTTTAATTCAAAAAATATGGATTGTTAAAAAAAACCTTAATTGCAACTTTCCTCATGATCTTTTGGCAAACTTTTTCTAGCACAGAGTTTGAGAGGTCCAGTCCCTTGGACTCAGTGGACTCCGGACTCTGAACTCGGCCAGGTCTTGCAGAGTAATCCATTGGAGTTTTCTCATCCAACAGCATCCCAAAGGAGACTAGAACTAATAGAAACCAAATTAATTTATCATATCTCTGCTAGATGGGGTTGATGACGTGGATTATGTTTACTCTAAGCGAAGTGAGAACTAACTGATGTATTACAAGAAACCCCTAGTGTACAATGTACGCTACTTCTTCACCCGGGCGATGAAATCTCCCGGCGTGATCAAATCTTCCCGATTAGACGTGCCGTGCCATCCCCCACCCTCAGATCTCCGTACCAGACCGACGAAACACGGTCATTCTGGCCTGTCGACCCTAGCGGGCCGGTACGTAAATGGGATAAAGGGATTTTAGAGACGGGCGGATGTTTNGGGGGGGGGTATATTACACCTGCTGAGTCCAAGTCACAATACAGGGAGAAATTATAAAACTGTTTCTTTATTGATGCTGCTACAAGTAGTTAAGTGTGTGTTCATGGTTAATAGTTTCATACAGAAAAAGTTATAGAGATAACGGGAGCAAAGGACACATATATATATCTAGTTTGCGAAAAGTTGCATTATTCTTTTTAAGACTTGCTTGACTTTAAAATGTTGCAACGCCTGTCTTGAACTTTGATTTAATCACTATCTTAGCTCTTCTGTTGCTTTAATTTACATTTGAATATTTTAGAAAAATGTTAAACTAAATCTGAAGATTAATTTCTCCTAAAATGAATTGAAATTATCTCTTATGAAAGGTTATCAATTCAAGCGTGCATTTAAAGCTGCAAGTGCCAAAGAATCAGACTTTACCGGCGACCTGAAACTCTTAAAAATGATGTAGATCAAGATCATACACGTTGTTTTTATATCGTTAATAAATGTTTACAGTGTAACATGTCTCTTAATTATCATCATAATGCCAAACCAAATGCACTGATAGTTTGGTAGGACTGACTCGTCTTTTTTGTATAACTCCCTCTTGGTAGTTTATACTATAATTCAAAGGTGGGATTTGAATTGTTATGTTGTAGAAGAAGGTGGCAATACAAAATATTATTTTTGAGTTTAAAACGAATTTAAAAATAGCTTTTATGAAACTATTGTGTACTTTATCATTCTTCCTCACTTCATCGTGAATTTCATAATGAACGTGCAATAAAGTAATCATCGTGCTATAATGTTAAATTAACTGTACATTATACTAAGTGTGTTATAAAGTTTTGATTTTCTCCAAAAAAATTTAGAATATTTTCAAAATATTTTTATCAAATGAAATGAAAATAAAATTGAAATCAACTTTATATTTTGACTTCTGCTTTGTTTCAATGCTTATTTGATCTAGAAATGGCAATTAAAATAAGACAAGTACACAAACGTTTCATAAAATTATCTATAGCAATATTATTTTGGCACGACGTGCTATTAAGTGTTTGGACTCAAATTTTCTCTTTATCGAGAAGGTTCAATCCTTTTTAGATTTAATTTTGTCCCGAGCTTTGGGACAAATTTAAATTTAAAAAGGCTTGAACCTTCTCGATAAAGAGTCAAAAACTGTATAACACTGCGAACCAAAATAACAGTGTTATAAATAGTTATTAAACTGTTAAAATATAATCAATAAAAAAGATTGTTAATCTGCAAACAGGGAGAAATTAAGTAAAATTATTTCCTTCAATTTTAAAAGCCTCTGAATATTTATTTGCTCTGATCTTACAAAACAAATTTCCCATAGTTTAAGTTAGGCAAAATTTGGAAAATTGGAAAAATGATCCTTCCGCCTAACATTAAACATTTAAATCACTGGAATACAAACGTCGAAATTCAATCAATCAGATTTCAATGCAAATTACATTTTAGCAATTTGCAAAAATAATTTAACAATTTTTCAAATCATATATATATATATATATATATATATATTCATTTGTCATCAATAAATTTATTCAATTTCAAAATAGAGGAAAATTATAATAATGTGCGGTAATAAAATGCATGGTTTTTGTTAATTGTGTACAATGTATGTATACTTTTATGCAAATATGTATATTATGTGAATATTGATAATGGCCAAGCATATTCAGTTGAGCAATGCATTAAAACATAAATCTAACAATCTTAATTTTTATGCATTTTTGCAGCAATGCAAATATATGCGTTGTAAAAACCTCAAAAGATAAGAATGAAAAGTTAAAACTAAATTTTTTGATAAATAAAATCAAAACTGCATTGAATAATTTAAATTTACTTACGAACAAGTGTAACATTAAAATAAATGCAAAAACAAACTAAAAGTAAAATCCAGCCTCTTAACAACGACCACCACCCCTTCACTAAAGAACAAAATTTATACAAAACTATATATAGATAATTATTTATTACAACTATTTTACAGGAATGTTAAGTAACTTTTTTCCCGAATTTTATCGTATTGTGAGAATGAGATAAATATGCGCGAATTTGTTCACGAAAACTTTGTAGTGCGCAGATCGTTGTTTTACTTAATAGTCCCAAGGGACTTTAAGCAACTTATAAAGTCCTTCTTTTGGGGAATCATAGGTTGGTAATGTTGGTCATCATAATAGATATACGGTAAATTTCTTTGGACAAAGAATGATTTTATAAAATATATTTTAAATAAAATCACGCAACCTCTAGAGCATAATTCACGGATTTACAAACCACACATTTCATGCAAACCCCCCGCCTTGCCAGCCGCTCATATTTGAATATTCAACGAATAGGAGAAGAGATTACAGAAAGATAGGTAGATAAATATGTAGATAGACAGATAGATAGAGTACAGGGTTATCCAAAAAAAGTAAGACTAAAATGAGGACTGGAAACTTTTAAAAATATGACGATAGAATGGTTAAATTTGATTTTATGCCGTACATATAGTCTTTAATTGGCTAAATGTATCTTTTGAAAAAAAACCATAATTTTATTAATAATAATTTTTAATTATACAAAAAAAAATGTTAGTGCATAAAAATTGCGCTCTATTAATACTTTAACTTTCTTTATTGCTAGTTCTATTGTTTAAACATTTTTAAATCTCCTTAACTGTTTCGATCTTATATGAGTTCGTAAATTTCGAACTTTTTTTCTAACATGGTATTTTTTGTCATTAAAATTCTTAAAAGATGCAAATCTGTTAAAAAAGATCTCAAATCCAAGGTTTATAACTTTTACTTGATTTAAATCATGAGGGAGTGGCACCTTAATGTTTTAAATCCTGGGGGTGTGGCACCATAATGTTTTAAATCAATTAAAAGTTGCAATATTAATGAGGGAAACTTCATCCGTCAATGCACAGAGATGGAAAGCCCCTATCCCCAGAAAGTGTGCATACTTTTCTGTCAGAACTTTCACCTGCTTTAGAATTACAATAAAGAAATTTAGTTTATATAGAATTAAAATCTCTCTTTTGAAATATTTTGAAATTTTACTTATATCAAATTTAACATTGTCTTTGTAACCTGATGGTGTAAACCTTTGATTTATTTAAAGCTAAGCTTATTTGATCCAACAGAACTTATAAAATGTCTACGACATAGGATTTAGAAAATCAGAGTTTGTGACAATGACTCAATTCCTTTCCTTAAAATCAAATCAGCTTTTCATTTTCAACAGGGTTTTATTTGGTCACAATCTTGAAACTAACGTATGTAATTTTTATAAGATTATAAATTATAACATTTTAAGGAATTGAGTTTTTGATACAGATTTTTTTATTCCTATATCTTTGCAACCTGACCGATGTTGTACACCTTTAAAATTTCAAACTGTGAATTCTGTTAAAAACAAAATTCTACGGTCGTCGTCGTATATATAAATACAATTAAGACGAAATATCAAAGGTTTACAAAATTCAGATTGTAAAGACACCCAGGGGTTAAGAAAATTTTATCTTGCGGAAAAAAACTCATTTTCTGAGTACATTGAAATGCTTGAGCACATCTTTATATCAAGGGTCATTATGATAACTTAAAAATCTATATTTTTTTTAACTTGTTTTTAATATTTTTCTAATTTTAAGATTATATAAATGTACAGTTTTCAGTTGGATAATTTGCAAATATTGGCAATTTGAACTAATTTCCACAGTTCATTTAGCCCACTTGAGCTAATCTTATACATTTAAAGTAGAAATATAATTTTTCTATTTTGTAATTTTATAATAATTTGCATTTGTATAATTACTTTGCTATAATAAGGATTTAAAGGAAATTTTCATGAGTTATCATTCTTTCATGATTTTAATTAGTATATGTTTATATAAAAATTATAAATTTCTATGATACAACCAAATAAGTTTCAATTCTTAAACGTACGCATTAAAGAAAACAAAAAATCGTACCATTTCCCCCCAAAATATGGCCTTTTGATTCGTTTACTAGGCAATTTTTTTTGACTTTTAAAGACTCCTTGATTTTAATAAAGTTTTAACGTTTCATAAGTATACAGGGTTACCCAAAAAGAATGATACTTCAGAGACGATTGTACACAATTTTATACTTTATTTTACCTTATATTCATGCTTCCCAGTAGGCCATTTAAACAGAGGCGGATACAGGATTTAAGTGAGGGGGGGCAAGATTCTTCAGGAACAAAAAAAATCATAATCAGGAACAAAAAATTGCGCCACAGGCGAAAATTTTGTTTGACTTAAAAGACTCAAAAAGAGTCATAATTAATGACTTAAGACTAAAAAACTAGATTTTTAACCTTTTACACATTATAGTTTATTAAGACAGATATTTTTCCTGTTTTGCACTGGGGTTTCTTTCCCTTAAGCATGCTATTGAGAAGCTATTCTGAAAATAAGAACAAAAAATTCCAAATTCAGGGGGGGGGGGGGCGAATGTCCCCCCAATGTATCCGCCCCTGCATTTAAAGACTACTTCCAAGGCAGAAGACTTAATTAGAACTTGGGATCGTCATATTTGAAGAGTTTCAAGTCGCTTTTACAGTCTCATTTTTTGTTGGTAACCCTAGGCTGTATGTTACAACATTTAACATTTTTATCCTGGACCAAGAAAAAGACAGCGACACCAAACCTATAACCTTTATTTTTGCAAACGTAACGAAGGTGCGGTTTTATTGTCAATTCTGTAAATTTTATCAATTCTATCTGTCAAAGTAACATTTCTGCACAGTAGATGTTAACAGAATATAACATGTTTAAAACTGTTGTAATCCCACTTTTCAAATTAAAATTGCATTTGAAAAAAATTAATGTTTTTTTTTGCTAAGTTTTGATTTTGAAGTATTTCATACACTAAAGTATTTAAGAGTTGGATCGGGTCTCAATACTGCCAAAAGGAGCAAGCGTAGAGTTTTATATATTTTTTAACGT